TCCTGGCAAACGCTTTCTCTCTCCTGCCAGGGCATCCAAATGTGCACCTTAACTCTTAATGTTCAACTTAACATCTTAATGCAAGTGCATTAGTCCAACCAGACCCAGCAGCCTCCCCACTTGCAACTCTGACTTGATCTTTCCACTCACACAAGCGTCCTGCTCCCAAGTCTAGGTTCATCTGTAGGCCAAAGACGTGTAAGACACGTCTGCTTTGGAAATCTCCGTCTCTCAGCCCCCTCCTTTACCCCCAAATCCCCACATTTCTCTCACCTTCATCACTAATGCTCCTATTAAGTTCCAATCTTCCCTTACGATCTCTGTGGGATTTGAAGTCCTACAGGCACTAGGACAATCACAAATGGACTGCAATGATAGACCAGGTTAGAAGGGAACCCTGAAATTCCCTCTGCCCAGAGCGATGAGCAGACAGACTTCTCTAGAAAGGCCAGAGGACTCAAAAGCCAAGATGACCATGGGGCTCTGAAACTCCCTGCCCATCCCAATCCTGGTTTCCTTGAACATTCAGAATAGGTGCATATCTAGGGATTCAGATTTTAAAAAGAAAAGAAAAACAAAACTGTGTTTTCTGATTGCTTCAATAATGAGGGAAGGCCTAAAAGCGTTAGCTCAACTCCAAATTCCTCCAGTTCCAAAGACACCAATGGAGAACATGACAGCTCCAGCTGCCTCACCTCACCTGCCAAGAACCACAGGTCCAACCAAGCTCCATTCCAACTTCTGGAAGTGACCTTGGCTAAATTTTTCCATATCTTGAACTTCCTAATGCTTTCATAAAGAGGATCAAAATGCTGCTGTCTCCTGCTAGATGCATTATACAAAACTAGCAGAAATGTCAGTCTGTTGGTGACAGATGATATAAGAACCGGTTCTAAAGACAATTCTGCATACTTCTTTCATAATTAGAATATCTTCTTGGACAGAAGTTTTGTTTGCTTTGTTATTCTACATTTTTATATTAGCATAGAAATAAAACTAGATTCTTTCAATTCATTTGTCTTACTTTCAGATGACAAGTTTGTTTTTTCCTTATTATGCCTAGCGGAAAATCCACTGGAAAGTTTGCAAATGAACATTCAAAGATGATGTCTGACTACAACGCAGAGCAGGAAATCACCCCTTTGATTATTTTCCATATGATAACTTCCTTACAGCCACTCTCTCTGATTATGTATCTTCCATACCCCTTCTCAAGGATCGCCAAAGAGAAACAATAACCACTGGTTGCATTGGTTTTTAAAATATGCTCGTTTTCATCTTGTCTCAAGACACTCTTTTTTAGAAATTCATAATCAGTCACAAAGAACTGTTCTACCACTTCTTTCCAGTTAAAAACTTGGCTGATTTCTAGCTACAGCCTCGCCTCACTCTTAGACTGTTAACAAAGATAACACCCACTTCTTATGTAGTCTTATTTTCCCCAACTGAAATATAGAACTTTAGAAAGATAAAAAACAGAATTTAAGTTATATTCCATCAGAGAAACTATGAGCTTTCATTTTTAAGAGTTTTCTCTCAATGAGGTCATTTAGAGCAGAAAGAAAAATGTGGCAAGCTCACATTTTTAACAGATGATGCCCTGAAAAAAAGCTGTTTTAGAAACATACATACACCTATAGAAAAAATGTTATAAGATAAAAAGATGAAGTCACAATTTTATTTTCCTTACAACCCACAAATATCTAACTTGTTGCCAAAGACTTGAATCTGGAATCTGGAATCTGGAAAATACTGTCAACTGGATACCATCTGAGAATAAAAACAAAATCATTTTGTAATATAAGAAAGTCTCCCATGTTTGTTTGTATACCAGACTGCAACAACAAAGTGATTCACAGGGGCCATGTCTACCACAAGAAAAAACAACAAACTGTTCACAAATTACGTTTTCAGTTCTGAGACCTCAAGATACCAATGCTCTTCCAACCTTTAGATTTATTTCAGATTTTATCAGAAACTAAAAAGTATAGACAAAATATATACTGAACAGCAGAAAAAGAAGACCTTCTCCATCAACATGTTTCCAAATCCTAATTTGCTTATTATTAAATAAACTTCCCCAAAGTTCTCTTCCAGTGAACATGTCCCATTATCCTCAAAATGAGGTCACAGACTTCCAGGCCCCTGCTCAGACCTCCTCAATCAGATTCTGAGGGTGAAACCTGGCATTTGCATTTATAAGTGCAAAATTAACTTATTCTGAAATACCCCAACCCTACATGCAAATGAGGACAAAGCTAGACAGATGTCAAATAATTGTTTGCTTTAAATTAGTACTTCTACAAAAAAACAATTCAAAATAACTGGCATCAATTTTTTTACATAAAACAAACTACTACTTCCTGATAACTGCAATTCCACCTGCCTAAGAGGACACACTAATCATTGTCAAACCAATTTTAAGCACTGGTCCAGCACATCTCTCTACCCCAGAAAAAGCCAGAAAAGATACAAAGTCAGCCTAGATGTGTCCAATCTTGAGCATTAACAGTCAGCAGTCCCTCCCAAAAGCAAAGCCAAAAATACCTCCTGAGCCAAATGGGAATTCCTGGCACTGAGGTCCATCCTTGTAAGCCCTATCCGGTAGCAGGCATGTTAAGTGGGCCGCAGCAGCCTGTTCCCTGGACAGCTGAACACAGGATGGGTCCATGATTGCCAGCCAGCCAACCAAATGGGCAGTAACTTTTGACAGAAAACAAGGAAACTACAGAGAGCCTGACTGAAATATATGACTACTGAAGGCCAGAATGACAAGACAGAAACTAAGTTCACTTCCTTTATAACCGTATGGGTCACAGGGTGAAGCCATCAACCAGATTCTAAGTGTGGTCCTGAATTACTGAAAACTATTTTGTTAAGCTGCCACACCTCTCCACATATGAACAGGGATATATGAGACAGCCTTAAGTGGGAGAGCTTTTATTTAAAAAGGATGCATGTATAATAAAAGCCAATACCACACTTGACAAATCTTGCAATGTTAATTCTGTGGATAATGGAATATTCTATACCAGAATACCCGGACCTGTGGGAGAACTATATGTGCACATTTCCAGTACTCAAAAGGATTAAATAAAAAATGATAAACATGCTTTCCACTATTTCATGTCATGTTTGAAGGAACTAGAAAATTGCACAGCAATCCCTCAAAAATTTTGAAATATCCTGTCCATCTTGAACATGAAAAGCACCACTAAAGTTGCCAGCATCTGATTTCTTGTCAACTTCAAATGTCATAATTTCTATTTTCCCTGTTAAAGGAAGCTTGCTGAGCTCCAAGCAGTGATTTAGACATTAACTAAAATGATGCATTGCCAAACTGCCTTTAGCACGGACCTTGACAATCTGGAAGACAGATAGGGATAAGTCTAATTTCCTATATGAAAGCTGAAGCAGAGCTTCTTTTTATGTTCTCTTCTCTGGGATTTTTTTCCCATTGCCTTTCCAACACAAATCTGCAAATATTCACTTCTAGAAAAGCATATTGTACAAAAGGAGAAAAGCCTCCAATCCTAAGACTTGACAAGGTACTGTGATTCTGCTGGTGAGTTCGGCAAATCAGCTAACGCTGATCTTGACCAAACGGGTGGCTCAGCCTGTTGGAGACTTCTTTTTTAAAATTTAGGTGAAATTTCACACTTAAGAATCCTGTATCAAAAAAGTAAGTCTTGCCGTATTCATTTGCAAGGAGTTAATAACGTGTACTAACATATACTAGATGGCCCCTCTCTGTTCTCTTGGCTCAAGTCTTACTTAATTCTCTGAGTAACTTTTTATCAGACTGCTCAGGGAGCCTTAGGAATGACAAATAGAACCTGAAAAGGAAGAAAATGCAGAATTAAAGCTGTCATCGTTAAGCCTAATGAAACAGTACACCCAGCAGAAGAAAGCCTTAGGAATTAGGGACAGGGAGACCATAACCAGCAGTTACAGCAAGAGTGAGGCACAGCACACTGCAAAGTCTGGCCAGGGCCTGGGACCCAGTGGACCGCGGCTGTCTCGGTTGCCACAGACCCACCCACTCAAGGCCAGCCTGGCTCCCGCTAACGAGGTCCTCCACCCGCAGGAAGCCTCGTGCAGACTGGACAGCGGATCCCCTCACTGGCACGCTTCCTACTTGCGTTCCTGCAAGGGAACCGAGGCATCCAGCGCCGCAGAACCGTAAAAAACACCTCACCCCGAGGTGGTGACTCCGGCGCTACCTGCCCCAAAACAAAAGCCTTCGCTGTCACCGGGGCGGGACCGGGCGCCCCCAGCCAGGAGCAAGCCGCAGCGGGATGCAGGGTCCTGCCTCCTGTCACACTGTGATATCGCCGTGGCGGACCCCTGCTCTCCCTCGAAGGAGCTGCAGGGGACCCGGAGCGCCGGGAGGAGCCTCGCGCGCGCCCCGCGCAGCGCGCCAGCCGGCCCCGGGCCACCGCGCGGACTGGGCGCCGGTCCGCAAGTTTCCCTTCCTCCCCCCTCAGGAACCCTGCCAAGCCCCTCGCCCCCATCGCGCCCTATTAGGAAAAGTCACGCCGACACCCCGGCGAAGGGGCAGGGACAGCTCCCAGCGGGCTACACAAGTTGGGTCCCGCCGCGAACACGGCGTGCCCCTTATCCCGCACGCGAGTCGGGGCACACACCGCCTTCCCCGGGGGAGTGGGGGCAATGCCCGGCCGCCAACTTTCCCGCGTCGTACCTCACCGCCCCCGCCCCGCGCGCAGCGGTGCGAACTTCGCGGCTCGGTCCCCCGGGGGGCGACGCCGCGGAGCGCGGGTCCCGGCCGCCCCGCTGACCTTCAGGCCAGCGCCGGCCGCGCGCGGGCCACTGCCCACCCCCAGAGCCTCCTGCAGCCGCCTTCCCGGCCCTCTCGCCACCCCTCAGTCCTCGCCCGAGCTGGCGGCGGCGGCGGCGACAGCAGCCCGACCCAGCGTCTCACCACGGCCGCTGCCCCCCCGAGAGAGCCCAGACGCGGCATCCCGGGGCCGCCCGCTCACCATTGGCGAAGGGCTCCATTTTGCCCCCGCCGCGGCTCCTCACAGCCCGAGCGCCCAAGCTTCCTACTCCGAGGGCTGAAGGGGCCCTGCCGACTGAGCATGCCCAGCGCGGCCTCCGAGGGCTGTCGGGGAGGTGCCGCGAGGGGCGGCGCCGCTCCGCCGCGCCGTGGATCCGCCGTTCCGGGTTTTCGCAACGGCTGCAGCAGGAGCCCGAGAGGCTGCCAGGACGGCTCCGCCGGGGGCGGGCTCCGCGCCCAGACGGGGGGCGGGGCAGCGCGACGCTCCGCCCCTTCCGCAGCGGCCGGAGGTAACGTCGCCGGCTCCGCTACGCGCGGGGCTGCGCTCGGTGGCTCAGTCCGGCGCGATCCTGGGTGCGGGGACCGCAGTGCTGCGCCAGGAAAACACAGTCGGTCCCCTGAGGGGCGGACAGTCCAGAGGCAGGCAGTAAACACACCCAGAGTAACCGCGGCGGTGAAATCGGGCTCCCCGCCGCACGTAAAGCCGGGGTGATGATGGGATGGCGGGGAGACCGCGCCGGGCAGGTGCCTCACGGGTCGATGTCTGAGGGCAGAGCAGCAGCCTGCGGGCGAAGGTCTCTCTCCGGACCGCAGAGTTCACGGGCTGCGGGACGGAGCGGGCACCCTAGGTCTTCCCAGCGCGCGCAGCGACCGGGCGGCCCCGGGCCCCAGAGCATCCCCCGGCGCGGTCCCTTAGGGCGCGGCCCCGGGGATGTCGGCGCAGCGGAAAACCCGGCGCCGGGCTGTCGGACCGGGCCGCGGGGCCCCCGCAGGACGTGGGCAGCAGGCCCGTTAGAGCCGAGCCCTCCGTCGACGCCAGCGGTTCCCGGGGGGCTGCGCCCCGCGGCGCTAGGCCCGAGCGGCTCCCTGCGTCGGCCCCGCTCGCCAGCACTCGCGCCGTGGCCTGTAGCCCGGAGCCACTATTGTTTGCAGCGCCAAATTAGGAAGCGCCCGCGAGTCTCCGAGGCGGAACGGCTGCTGGCCCCGTGAGCGCGCGGGGAAGAGCGCCGGGGCCAGCGGGTTCGGTCCTAGGGCTGGGGTGCGCGACGGAGCCACCCCGCGACGGCTTCCGCCCCTCATTCAGCCTCAGCCCCTGCAGCGTCTTGGCCCGGGCTGCACGACCCTGCGCCTGTCAACTGCCGCACGCTCGGCCGCTCGGAAGCTGCCCGCCGTGGGGCCAGGGTGTAGTCGGCCTGCGCAAACGGGGCGAGGTGGCCCTGTGTGGCTGACCACCACGGGACGTAGAAATTCGGTGCCAAAGCCCCCTTCAAGTACGATACTGCATTGTAGAACGTTCATTATGGTGCACTTCCTACCCCCGGCTTGAGAAGTTCCAGTGCGTACCGATTGCACGTGGAATAAAAGCGAAACCCCCTGCCCGGCTCTGGGACGCGAGGAACACAGGCTCGCCGTTCCCGGTGCACGCTCCTCGCGCAAGAACTGTCCCGATTCTTCGTGGCGCTTGGGTCTCGCTTCAATTTGACCTCTGCAGAGAACCTTTCTCTAACCACGCCACGAGCGCGTCCACCCTGCGCGATGTCCGCCACAGCTCTGCTTACTCAAACAAGGCTTCAGGTGGTGGTGTCAGGTTATCGTCCACCTCCCTCTCCACAAGGCTAGCTGATCAAGAGCAGCAGGGCTGTGTCACTGTTTTAGGGTGGCTTCGTGAGGTCCAGATGAGCAATCAGCGTCGAATGCTGAAACGAATGCGTGCAATGCTATTGCGAGTTCCAGTCCACTTGCCACGTGGAAAACGCTTCCTTCGCATGGAAGGGTGCGTTTGTGCACGGAGCCCAGAGGGTCCGTGTCTGTTGACTCCTGCAAGCTGCTCTCTCCCTGGCCGAACAAACACCGCCTCCCGCCCGGGCGCTGCGGAGGGAGCCCCAGGGGCTGGAGCACCAGTGTTCAGTCCACGTAGTACTGGCAGGACCCCACGCTGTGTACTCCTTCCGAGAAGAGGCTTTGCGTGCCTCTGGAGTCGCTTTCGCAGTGAAAGCCCTTCTTGCCACGGAGGTTGAAGCCTCCCCGTGTTCAATCACCTCACCTCACCTCACCTGCAAGCCAGCCTGCCATGCTTTCAAGTGTGAAACACGTCATCTTGCGTTCTGTTTTGAATCCGCAAGGCTGCAGAGGTTGTAGCAAAAAGGCTTCGTAGATGTGGATGGGGCCCGCCTTTGAGATCAAAGAGGTAAATATTGCTAACCTCCTGCCTCCCACCCCTCTCGTTCCTTCCTCCACACAAGCACAATAAAGACCTGTAGCTTTCTACTGGAGGTAAAAACCGTAAACAAAATCAGTGTGTTTCGGAATCCCACCCTATCCTCGAAAGATTAATAGTGAGTTTTGTTCCATTTTGTGTTGTTTCACTTCTTGAAGCCCTTCTGGAAGAAACATAGTTTCAGACTCACTATCTGTGATGTTTCTGTCTTTAACCCCTCCCTCCTCCCACGGAGAACTTCCTCTTTAAGGCAGTAACACTTTAAGTTATTATGAAGTTTCTATTCATTATGGGAGGAGTGACATTACCTACTACACCCATCTACTATTTTCAGAACCCTTGCTGCCTGCCACTTACCGTTTGAAAACCAACAATTTGGAGGGCTAATTATAGTAGAAACTAAATAGCATCAAAGGGAAAATATGAGCACCCTGAATAACAAACAGCAGTTGTTTTTACAGAACCAACAAGCATGATAGCCAATGAATAAATAAAGCCCTTGGTCTGCCCTGGAAGAGCTGGTTAATCACGCCTCCCATTTAACCCAGGAGGGGCCTCCCATCTGGAGAGGGTGGATGATGACACACAGGCCAGGGGACCACGTGCACTGGAACCCAGGCCGCTGGTGTTCAAACCAGTGTCTGGAGCCCCCAGTTGCCTTCTCTTACCCACAAGGAAAGTAGGATCAATGACAACAGTTCATGTAGGGATCTGCAGTAAAGGGAAACACAGCTAACTTGGGGCTCCTAGGAACCTATTCTATGTGTTACTTACTAGATATCCCAATTTAATTAATGGAATAATTGATGGAGTTTTGTGTTACCCCTATGAGATGGGTTTTCTGATTATTCCAAAATGCACAATGCATTAATTCAATGGACATATTTGAAAATGTGATCTGATCAGCACTCTTGAGTAAATGCAGGAAGCTGCTTGCTGCCTAAACAGGAACAACCGTGGCAAGGTTGCCAGCCACGCTAGGGACAAAGGAGCTAGTGTCCCCTTACCCTGGGAGCCCAGCTGCAGCACATGCCCTCTGCATCGTGTAGTGATGTTTGAAGTTACCAAACTAAGAATGCAAAGGAGAGTGGAATAATTATCCAACAGAGTCCTCACAGAGCCTCGGCATTAGCCAAAAGGCCCAGCCAGATAAAGTAAAACTATTATTTTAAAGATTTATTTCTGTATTTATTTGTTTGAAAGGCAAAGTGACAGGGAGAGAGAGAAGGGAAGAAAGCATGGGAACTGACTGCTGATAAGTGCAGGGTGTCTTGTTAGACTGATGAAATTGATTGTATTTTTTTTTTTTTTTTTTGACAGGCAGAGTGGACAGTGAGAGAGAGAGAGACAGAAAAGTTTTCCTTTTGCCGTTGGTTCACCCTCCAATGGCCGCTGTGGCCGGCGCGCTGCAGCTAGCCCATCACGCTGATCCGATGGCAGGAGCCAGGTACTTATCCTGGTCTCCCATGGGGTGCAGGGCCCAAGTACTTGGGCCATCCTCCACTGCACTCCCGGGCCATAGCTGAGAGCTGGCCTGGTAGAGCAGCAACTGGGACAGAATCTGGCGCCCCGACTGGGACTAGAACCCCGTGTGCCGGCGCCGCAAGGTGGAGGATTAGCCTATTGAGCCACGGCGCCGGCCAAATTGATTGTATTAATAGGTGCTCAACTCCACGACTACAATAAAAAAATCATGGAGCTAAACTTTAAATGGGTGAATTGTGTGGCATGTGAGTTATAACTCAATAAAATATATATGAGCACATGAAGTTATCAAAAAGCTCATGGAAATATGAAACTAAAAGATAAATTTGTTTTGGTGCAAAAATCAATGCAATCCATGTTTTCATAATCTATGTTTTCCATGACCATTTTGAAGATCTCTCATAAAAGAAAGACTTAAGAATATGATTTAATTTTTTTCACTTTATTTGAAAGGAGAGAGAGAAACAGAAATCTTCCATCTGCTGGGCCATTGCAAAGCACACAGCAGTCAAGGCTGGGCCAGTGCAAAGCCAGAAGCCCAGAATTCACTCTGGGTCTTCCATGTAGATGACAGGGACCCAAATACTTGAGCCATCTCTTGCTGTTCCCAAGGTGTGCGTTAGCAGACAGCGGGATTGGAAGTGGAGTAGCCAGGACTCAAACCAGGCACTCTGAACAGAATGTGGGAGTCCCAAGCAGTGTCCTAATCTATACACCAAATGCCCACCCTAGATTATGATTTTAAAATGACTGTAATGATCATGCTTGATTAAAATTAAGCAGTCATACAAAGGATATCCTATGAATATATTCTTTCACTGTTGTTTTAGCCATTTTATTTCCCCCTAGCTGGCTGCCACCATTGAAAAGGGTACAGATTTGTTCAATTATACCCTATCCTGTTTAGAAATAAACACTGCAGAAAATCCTGCAGGCACAGGTACACCTTTTCTATCTTTTCCAAAAGGATATCTTAAGCCTACTACAAATGCTTAGAGGGGCCAGCTTTGTGGCATAGTGGGTAAAGCCACCCAGCTGCAATGCCGGCATCCCATATGGGCACCAGTTTGAATCCTGGCTGCTTCACTTTCAGTCCGACTCCCTGATAATGCATCTGGGAAGGCAGTAGAGGATGACCCAAGTGCTTGGGCCCCTGCACCCAGCAGAGACTCTTAGGTCCTGGTTTTGGCCAGTTGCAGCCATTTGGGGAGTGAACCAGCAGATAGAAAATCCCCCTCTCCCCCGCCTCTCCCTCTCTCTGTAACTCTGCCTTTCAAATAAACAAAGAAAATCTTTTTTTTTTTAATCTGATTTCCCATAATGGGTCCCACTCTTTTTTATTTTTTAAATATTTTTTAATTTATTTATTTGAGAGGCAGAGCTACAGAGAGAGGAGGGACAGAGAGAAAGGTCTTCCATCTGCTGGTTTGCTCCCCAAATGGCCACAATGGCTGGAGCTGGGCTGCTTTGAAGCCAGGAGCCAGGAGCTTTTTCCAGGTCTCCCATATGGGTGCAGGGGCCCAAGGACTTGGACTATCTTCTACTGCCTTCCCAGTCCATAGCAGAGAGCTGGATCAGAAGAGGAGCAGTCAGGACTAGAACAGGCACCCATATGGGATACCGGTGCCACAGGCGGAGGCTTAGCTACTTTGCCAGAGTGCCAGCCCCAATAAAAATATTTTTATTTAAAAAAAATGCTTAGAAGGAAATCACTCTGTAAGTGAGAGTCAAACTGTGGTGATGGTGACATTACACCGTCTCTGGGTACCTGTTTAACAAAGCAGATGCCACAGTCTCATCCCCTAAATTCTGAGATATTGCCTAAAATGTACATTTTTATCAAACATTGCTGGTGATGGTAGCATAGGCGGTCCCTAGACAGCCTGGGACTGCAGGAATCCACTGTATCGGACAGCATGGGACTGAGGTGGACACCCAGGGCTCAGATTCTGCACCCGCCACTACCTTCGACTGTGATTGCAGGAAGTTTCTTTTTTTTTTTTTTTTTATTTACAGGCAGAGTGGACAGTGAGAGAGAGACAGAGAGAAAGGTCTTCCTTTTCCATTGGTTCACCCCCCAATGGCCGCTGCGGCCGGCAAACTGCGCTGATCTGAAGCCAGGAGCCAGGTGCTTCTCCTGGTCTCCCATGCGGGTACAGGGCCCAAGCACTTGGGCCATCCTCCACTGCACTCCCAGGCCACAGCAGAGAGCTGGACTGGAAGAGGAACAACCGGGACAGAAT